GATAGATAGATAGATAGATAGATAGATAGATAGATAGATAGATAGATGGATAGATAGATAGATACTTTATTGATCCCCAAGGGGAAATTCAAGAATCCCCACTGTCCTGTCTTTTGTTTCGTGTAGAAATTTAACAACGACTGGTGGATAGGCCGCCTTGTGAAAGAAGGCTGTGAAATCGGCTTTATTCCCAGTCCGGTGAAGCTTGAAAACACTCGAATCCTCCAGGAGCAGCGGGCCAAACAGGGCAAGTTCCACTCCAGGTAGGAAGCTTTGACCCCCACGTGGGGCGTTCGGGGGAAATGTGGGGTTTCGTGGATCTCACGTGCCGGAAAATCTCTTTCCCGTCTCAGTAAACTTGGAGCCAACTCATCCTCCAGCCTGGGAGAAGTCGTTCCCAACTCACGGAAATCTACTCCTCCTTCGTCTGGTAAGAAATCCCACAGAGTTGAACTTTAAACTTATCCTGTCTTTTTTTAAATCAACATTTAAATCAAAATTTAACTCATTGACTGCCAGAGTTTTTTTAGCATTTTGACTGATTTTTCAAGAGCCACAGAATAGTTTGTGCTATGACTATGTAAACACCGAACACACCAAAAGAAAGAGTAGACTCTCTTCTTTCATCAGGAAAAAAGATTTGTTTCTACCTTATTCCGTTCTTCCTCGACTTGCGTCTCACCGGCGACATGTTTTCTCATAGAACCGTTACCTTTTTCTTATTTGCCTACAGTCTATGCTAATCTCCCATCAAAAGTGGCACTGCCCCCTAGAGGGTCAATTTGTTACTACATACTCTGTCTAGAAGCCTGATATTTACGGACAAACTTTAGCAGATCGTCCCCCAAGCCACTCTTGTTGAAAAAATAAAAGACGTCTATAGACGTCTTTGGCAGCCAATGAGTTAACTGGTGGTATAAACTGAAGGTGAAATTCACTTGATTTTTCCCACATTTCCCAATAAATATTGACGTTTCTGTGTTTGCCTCCTGTCCGTGTGGGCGGGTAGCCGTGGACATAGATGCCACAGGCTTAGACCCCGAGGACAATGAGCTCCCGGTCCACCTGCGCCCCCCCAAAGCCAGTCCCAACACTGTCACGTCCCCCCTAGCAAAAGAGAAACGAATGCCCTTCTTTAAGAAGGTAAACTCCTGACCGCCCTCTCTCGCCGGGCGGCTCAGACTAAACCCCGCCCGGCTCCGCTGCGCCCCCCCGCCCGCCCGGCGCCCCCTTCTGGCTGC